GGCACATCACCTACAGAGGCAAAGTTACTCAAATGACTGGGGATTTCTCATCAGAAATCATGGAGACCAGAAAGTGATAGAACAACATTTAAAATTTTTATTTTGTCTTATTTTAAAATGTTTAATTTTTTATGTATTTTTCAAAGGTTACTTTTCACTGACAGTTATTATGAAATATTGACTGTGTTATACAGTATCCCTATGTTATATAGTACATCCTTGTACATCTTACACCTAATGGTTTGTACCTCCACTTTCCCACCTTTATATTGCTTCCCCTCGACTGGTAACCACTAATTTCTTTTCTATACCTGTGAATCTGCTTTTTTCTTGTTGTATTCACTAGTTTGTTGTGTTTTTAGATTCTGCATATAAGCGATATCATAAAGCATTTATCTTTCTCTGTCTGACTTATTACCCTTAGTATCATGACCTCCAAGTCCACTCATGTTGCTGCAGATGGCAAATTTTCCTGTTTTTTATGGCTGAGTAGTATTCCATTCTTTGCTGATGGACACTTAGGTTGCTTCTTGTTTTGGTAGTTGTAAATAATACTGCTGTGAACATTGGGGTACATGTATCTTTTTGAATTAGTGTTTTTGGGGTTTTTTTTGGATATATACCCAGAAGTGGAATTGTTGAGTTACAAGCTAACACTATTTTTAGTGTTTTGAGAAACCTCCATACTGTTTTCTATAGTGGTTGCACCAATTTACGTTCCCAGTGACAGTGTAAAAGGTGGGACAACATTTTTTTTTAACATTTTTTATTGATTTATAATCATTTTACAATGTTGTGTCAAATTCCAGTGTTCAGCACAATTTTTCAGTCATTCATGGACATATACACACTCATTGTCAGGGACAACATTTTTTAAATGCTGAAAGAAAAGAAATATCAACCCAGAATTCTATATTTTATGAAAATATCCTTCAGGAATGAAGGCAAAATAAAGGCATTCTCAGATGAAAAGAAAATAAGAGAATTTGATAGTACCCTTGCTCTAAAAGAAATACTAAAGGAAATTCTTCAGACAGAATGGAAATGAAACCAGAGAGGAATTTGAAATTTCCAAGAATGAAGGAAGAGCAACAGAAATAGCAAGTATATGGGTAAACATAATACACTTTATTCCTCTTCCATTCTTTAAAATATGTGTAATTGTTACAAACAATATGACATTGAATGGTAGAATTTTTAGTGTATGTGGTTGTAATACATATATGGTAGCTGCAACATGAGGGTGGAATGCAAAGGGACCTATAAGACTGAAAGTTTCCTACCTTTCATTTGGAGTGATTAAATATTAATAAGTAGACTATTAAAGTTCAGTAAGTACGTTTAATCCTTAGAGCCATCATAAAAACTATTATACAAAGTATACAGTCAAAATAGAAAACTTAAAGATATTCAAGTAATTCAGAAGGAATCATGAAAGGAGAAACAAAAGAAGAAAAAAGGGGACAAACTGAAAACAAATTATAAAAAACTACTGGATATCCATGTGCAAAAAAAATGAACCTGACCTTTACTATACTCCTTGTACAAAAATTAACTCAAAATTGACTGTAGACCTAAATGTGAAATTTAAAACTATGAAATTACCAGAATAAAAGATAGGAGAAAATCATATATTTATGTTCACTTATAACTGAAAAATTGTGCTCTACACTGGAAATTGCCACAACATTGTAAAATGACTATGACTCAATAAAAAATGTTAAAACAAACAAAAAAGGAGAAAATCCTCATGACCTTGGATTAGGCAGAGAATTTTTAAGCATAACACCAAATACAGTCCATTTAAAAGATGGATAAATGGATCTTCATCATAATTTTAAAAAACACAACTTTTGACCTGCAAAATCCACTGTTAAGAGAGGGAAAGATCAGCTATAGACTGGAAAAATAATATTGGCAAATCACATATCCAACCAAGGACTCATCGTCGTAACATATAAAGAGCTCTCAAAGCTCAGCAATAAGGAAACAGCTCAGTACAAGAATGGGCAACAGGTTTGAACAGACATGTCACCAAAGAAGACAAATGAATGGCAGTAAGTACAAAAAAATGATGTACAACATTAGTTATTAGAGAAATGTAAAGTAAAGCCACAGTGAGATACTGCTGTGCACGCATTAGAGTGTCTTAAAACATACATACACAACACAAAACCAAATGCTAGTAAGAATGTGTAGCAACTGAAATTCTACTTTGCTGATGAGAGTGCAAAATGGTACAGCCACTTTAGAAAACAGTTAGGCATTTTCTGTTAAATGTATGATTGCTATGTGATTTAGCATTCCTACTCCTAGCTATTTACCCTAGAGAAACAAAAACTTATATTCACACAAAAACTTATGAGTGGATGTTTATAACAGCATTATTCATGATGGCCCATAACTGGGAACAATCCAAATGTGTCAGCTGGTGACTGGATAAATTGTGATAGCTCCATGCAATGGAATACTTTTCAGCAATGAAAAGGAACAAACTATTGATACAAACAACAACGTGGGTAAATCTCTCATGTATTATTGCTGAATGAAAGAACCCAGTTCCAAAAGGTTATATACTCCTGATTCCACTTACATGACATTCTGGAAGAAGCAAACTATAGGGAGGGAGAGTAGATTAATGATTCCCTGGGATGAGCATTGGAGCAGGGTAGAACGTAACAAGAGAAATTTGGAGGAATTCTGTATTCTGACTGTGTTTGTGGTTACACAAATCTGTGCATATATTGAAGCCATTAGAACTGTACATGAAGTAAGTCTGACTGTGTAAGTCAAAAGGAAAACAAAACACTCAATAAAAAATGTTAAAAAATATTTAAAAACAATGCAGATCATTTTAAAATACATTATCAGTTTAAAAGTTAATAGACTTAAAAACGAAGAGAATTCGGACACATGCTAAAACATGGATGAACCTTGAGGACACTAAGTGAAATAAGCCAGTTACAAGAAGACAAATACTGTGTGATTCCACTTATATGAGGTACCCAGAATAGTCAAATTCATAGAGACAGAAAATAGAACGGTTGTTTGGAAGACCAAATAATGGGGAGTTATTGCTAAATGGTTACAGAGCTTCTGTTTGGGGTGAAGAAAAAGTTCTAGAGATGGATTGTGGCAATTGATTGTACAACAATATGAGTGTACTTAATGCTACTAAACTATGCACTCAAAATGGTTAATATGGTAGGTTTTATGTATATTTTACACAATAAAAATTTAATAGATCATATAATAATTGCTTTTTTGGTGGGTTTTGATTGAGAAATACTAGAGGAAAATTTCTTATGTATGCCCTGTTCAAGTTAATTTTGAGTTCTTTAAAGAACAAAGAAGTTAATCTAATAACTGTTTCCAAAAAGTCATATATGATTTCTATATAATATGTTGCCATAGAACCTTGTCAATCACAAAATAAGTTAAAATAAGCTCTCAGCACAGAAAGCTTGCTTTAAATGCTTCTGCAAAGCCCTACGCAACAAGAAAAGCAATGTTTCTTCCCATAATTAATTGCAGAGAAGTTGCAGAAAGTTACATAATTGACCTGATTCTCATCTTGAGGATACAGGAGCTGAATGTGAAGGAAAGTGCACTGGGAGAGAGTTGCTTTGCAAGGACTTTATCAGGCTGTGTCCGGAGAGGATTAGAATAGAACTTTACAAGTTGTGGGATTTGCCCCTAGTATAAACAAACTTCTCAATAAGAAAATATGCTGTTTTCAACTAGGCCATACTTGAGCTGTGAAAGATTAGGCTACTGTGGTTGTGCCCGAACTATTCACTGAGCCAACCTAATTCTAGTTAAAAAAAGAGAGCATGAGGTGTTAGGAGAACAGTTAAAACCCCTTCTGCACTCAGAAGGGCTTAGAGCTAAGGGGTAGAGGAAGATGGAACTCAGGAGATAGAACTCTTCATGGATGTTTTAAATTATTTTTTATTTATATGGTGGTTATTCTATTGAAAAAAATTAAGAAGTAAACAGCAAATGCTATTCCTTTAATTGGTTCTTCAGGTGGCTTATCATAGGGTAAATGGCAAAGTCTGACTTTAATGACAACAGAAAAATACAAGCTGGACTGTGGGTTTACAAAAGCTTAATGCTGAATCACAAATATGTATGACCATATTGAAGTGAATAATTGGTAAATGACACATCTGACCCTTTTGGTAGATTGCATTATCATTCAAAATATTTGTTGCCCCTCCCTGGATCACATTTCTGCAGGAGGATAATGCTTGCTGGCTGTTGAACTCAGGCATGTCCGTATGACTTGCTTTGGCAATAAATTGTGAGCAGAAGTGACATGTGTCACTTTGGAGCCAGAAATTTTAAGAATGAGCATCTTGTTTGCCATGTTTTTTATTCCTCTGCTGTAAGACCAGCAGCATTCCAGATCAGAGTTGCTCTGTGAGCCTGGGTTTATCAGTGGAGCAGAGTTGCGGCAGTCCTATGATAGACATGTAACTTGAGCAGGGAATCAACCTCTGTTTACTTGGGGTTGTTTGTTCCCACAGCATTACTTAGCCTATCCTGACTGTTGCATGTTTCCACCCATACCACAGCAGCATCAACGTTTATGTAGTCTGTATAACATTCTGCTTAGGCTTCTTACTGATCTATTTACCCTTTGCTAAAGGCTGAAACTTTGTACAGTTTCTTCTTCCTTCTTTGAGAACAGAATCCCAACTTCATTCTAGCTGCAATGAGCCCAACTAATAGTTTGATTAGTCCAAGCCAATCATAGCAACTCCATTCCTCCTTGAGAGTAAATTGGTCCAGGGATGAGCATGTGATCCAGTTCTGAACAATGAGATTTAAGGGAAATAGTCCAGAGTACTCAGGAAATATTTTTTTTCTTTCTGATAAGAGTAGCATGCAAAAAGAAAGTTGTTTTTGTCCACTATTCTCCATTTTTGGCTTTGAAAGCTGTGATGTAATATTGTGATGCCTGAAACTATGATCATGAGAGCAGTGAAGTCAAGGATAGGAAGAGCTGGAGTCCTTGGTGACATAATTAAACTATCAAGCCAACTGTCCAATCCAATTGTCTGCCTACCTAGACTTCTTAGTGGACTATTAACATCCTTATAGTTTAAGCTATAAGCTGGATTTTTCTATTGCTTGCTGCCAAAAGCATCCTAACTGATACAACGCATGTGGACAAAGCATCGTTCACTTGGCCTGTTTCACAAGGGGTTCATCCTTACAACTGCCTTAGATTTACCAGTTCTTAAAAAACTAATGGAAATCATAGCTATTTGGAGATTTTACTTAATTTGGCCACCCTAGTGCAGCTCTAACGTTAATGAAGTCCTCTTTGGTACGTGTGATGAATGAAGCACTCAGCTGTGTGGTGGTTTTTGGTGTAAAGTCTTGTATCTCTAGGTAGTCCTAGAAGCTACCTGGGCCGACGTTTTTTCCCCAATAGTTTTTCACCCACCAAACCCCGATACGAGATTTCTCCAACAAGAGATAATCAGGTCAGAAAAGCTGCCAATGCCACTGTCTTGAGCTCTCGCTGTTACATTATGTCCTAAAGCTGCAAGTAAATGAGTGCGGGAGGGACCTCGTGGTGTAAGCCTCAAGGAGTACTCTGTGTGTAGTACTCTGAAGCAAGAATATCCCCCTACTCCCAGTCGCTTCCTGAGCAACAGCAACTACCACAGTGTAGATCATGGATTTAGGCAAGCTGGCCGGCCTTTAACTGCTCAACATAAGATTGATCTTTTCATAGTTTCTTGGAACAGCCTCCATTTTGGCATTCTGTTGTCATCCATTATTTCCAGATGTTTCTTCTTTAAAAATTCTGGTTTTCTATCTCACAAACCATGTTTATTACTTTTAATCCTTGTCTTAGGTTTGTGTGTGTATATCCTTGAAAAAGTCCCAGAAATGTGATCATTCTTTAATGTTTCTAGGTATCTTTTCTCTTTGTTGTCATGGTCGAGACAGTGGCTTCTGGACATCATGTCAGAGCATTACTTTGGTTCCAGGTTTCTGGAAACACATAACAAATATCTCAGTTTTTCTCACACTTCTTTCCTTTTATCTCTGTTTTACATATATTTCATCTTTGCCAAAAACATTGTTTTAATATTTGGTGTCCCTTTTTGTTGCCTGTGTTAACATGTACTTCTTTTCACCTTATAAATATGAGAAAAGTATACAAAACTTGTCTTGTACAGTTATTTAAATCAGTCCTGGTAGCTATTTTGAAAAAGTCCACTAAGAGCAGTTAAGTTGCTATTAAACGAATATAGTTGGTTTTTTTTTTCCTGAATGGTCCAAGTTCATAATCATCAGCATAACTTTCTATTTTAATTTATATTACCCTATTTTAATTTGCTTAGTATAAATTAGATAGTAATTGACTAACATTTGCAGTTTTTCTTCACTTTTTTACCCTCCACTTTATAGTTAGACTGCCCTTAGGTCAAGTTTTGTTGCTACTTGGCACCTATGAGTTCTTAGCATTCCTTCTTAGATTTATGCTTTGAATCTGAAAAGCTTTATTAAAAAGTCTGTTTCTGCACATCGTCCCGTAAAATTTTCTTTGGATGGACTAATGCGCCAAGGTCTCAAGGAGTTTCAACTTGTTGATTTATTGGAGTTTTTGTTTGTTTTTTTATTTTGGAGCATTTCCACTCTTCCATCTGCTCACAGAAACCTTGAAGCATCTGTGCTGGGGAGAACAGCGGTCACATGAAAGTGGAAAGCACATTTAGCTGCTTTGTTGCCACATACCGTGTGGCAAATAAAAGTCGTAGACCCTTGAGATTCCAGACCGCCAGTGATGTACAGACAGCCTGCGTTCTAATGGTCTGTATAGCAGCTGGTTACTTGAAATGCATTTCCCCATGGAAACAAGGTTAAGAGGGGCACTTAGTTTTCTAGGTTAGTTCGTAAAAGCCTATTTCACCCAGAGTATAACTAAAACTCTATAGACTGCAATGAATAAGAGCAGAATATTGTTGTAACAGTGGTAACACTTAAGTGGTCAGAAAAGCAATACAGTTGAGTAAGAAAGAAGCTTTTAAAACATATCTTGAATGCTGATTTTCAAGGAAAAACAAATTTAACTAGATGGGAATATAGAGGAATATGCATAATGATTCCAACAGGGATAACGGAAGGACAAAAGTCACTGGTTTTCTTTGTTACATCTGTTTCCCTTTAAAATAAACAGCTTGATATAGTTTCAAAATATTCTTCAATAAGCATTATTTTTTATAACCAGGTCAAAGATGCTAAATGTTACTTTACTTAGAAAGTTTTAAGCAGTGAAAAACATCATGGCTTTCTTTTGGATAGTTGTATCAAGGCACATTTGATTTATTATTTAAAAAATTTTTTTAGATTTTACTGGGTTTTGTTTGTTTGTTTATTGTTTTTGTTATTGAGGGGAGGGAGGTAGTTAGGTTTATTTACTATTTTTTTTTAATTGGAGGTACTGGGGATTGAATCCAGGACCTCATGCATGCTAAGGAGGCACTCTATCAATTGAGCTATACCCTCCCCTCTAAGGCACGTTTGATTTAATTGAGCAGTATGACTTTAGTCTCCTTTGATCTTTCATCAGTTGAACAGATGACTGTTGACTGTTCACTGACAGGTGCTGCTCTGTGTTCTATATAGCAGCAAACAGGACAAATTCTGGTAGGTCTAAAGAGAGAAAGAAGAACATCTGCGGGAGGAATTTTCCAGTGGAAATGGGGCAAGGGAGAAAAGGTGAATGAGGAAGGCTGTTACTGAATATGTGGATGGGAGACAGAGATTTCCTGAGAAGAAATGAATTCACCTGTGAATAGGAGCAGACAAGAGGGAGAAGTTAACCCCAGAATGCTGGACTCACTGGGGAGAAGAAAGGAAAGTAGGAAGGAGAGAACTTGGATTGGGCAGTGGTCAGCCCAAGCCATGGGGTGACCTGCCCACCCCAAAACAACTTGTGTGATCTAAGGTGAAAAGTGTGAGTAGGGACGGGGAGCCAATTTCAACACACATGAAGGGAAGGGGCCATTTTGCAAGATGGATGTTAGAAACTATAGGAAATGAAGCAAAGGGAAAAGGTAGGTGATTTGGCAGCACTTTCACTCAGATAAATTACATGCTTTCAAAGAGTAAATCGTAAGAGATAATTTGAGAAATGTCCAGAAGTTTCAATTCAGATAGATTTTTTTTCTACAATGAGAAGCTGTGTTACATTTGTTATAATGTGATAACGTGTGAGTACAAACTGTCCAGTGTATTTGGAGGGACAGAGTTGAAGAGAGCTATTAAGTAACTAGGTCCCCAGGAACACAGAGTGAATAAAGTAGGTCCCCACACAGAGTGGGTAAGAACTAGCTCACAAACTGACAACTTGCTTACCCCTTTCTCAGCGTCCTTGAATTGCATTTATTTTTATTGACATATCCTTACTTTTACTAAAAGGAGTACTTGAAGTTTGTTGTAAAGGTATTTAACGTAATGCACATTCACCCAGCGGGTTCCTACTGCTTAGACGACTCCACCACACATGATTCCCTTAAAGGATCAGAGGAGCACAGGGGTTAAGAACATGTACTTTGGACTCAGAACATCTGGATCCGAATCCTGACTCCAAGGACAGTTATTTCCTAGCTGTGTTGTGTGACTTAAGGTAAGTTGCTCAACTTGTCTGGGCCCCAAATCTTCATATGTAAAACAGCATAATAATAGCACCTAGATCATTGGGTTTCTTTGGAAATTGAATGGGTTAATGTATGTAAAGCTCTTAGAAAAACTCCTGACTCCAAGCAGTGTTAGCTTTAAAAAGCAAAACAAAACAAAATATTGCTTTAAAAAAAAATCCCTGCCCCAGTTACTTATATGAATGAAAACAATAGCAAATGTTGCTGTATGCATATTCATTTGCCTTCAGAAACATTCTAGTAAATGCTTGAGATCATGTAAATGCTTAGAAGCTGGCTCAGCTCCTTGGATTCAGCCCACCGCCAGCGCCAACTCTCAGAGTTTTGAGTCTCCATATCTGAGCCTGGTTCACTTCAGGTCCTTAACTAGGCTGTCTGTTGGTTGCACTTTGCTATAGCAATGTTAGGAACTGCATACTTAAGTGTGCTCAGTCTTCCTATCTAAAGATGGTGATGATTTTTATCTGTTTGTGGCTATAGTTGAATTTCTTTTAAGTAGGTCCATGGAAAGGAAAAAAAAAAAACCCAGAACTTTCCCTTTCTTCTTTGGATGCTTTCCTTCTAGTAGAGTTTATCTGGAGCAAAAAAATTGTCTCTCTAGCCAGATATGGCCCCATACAAGTCATACTTGGGGCATTTCCCACCTGTTTTAACTCCCAGTCAGAGCCCTGTTGCCACACACACTCCATAACCAACCTCATCCTCAGCTCTGTCTTAAGGAAAAGCTGTATTGGAACCTATCTTAAACAGGTAAACGTCAGAGGCCAAACATACAGCTTCCTATCTCTGAAAAGCCTGCCTGTCTCTTGCTCTTCTCCCGTGGAAGGCCTGCCCTACTTCCTTTCTTTCTGCATTTAGATAAAATATGCCACCAATTCCAGGGGGATTTTTTGAGGAAGTGTTAACAATAATGAAGTGGATATCAGATGATATCATTCTTGGGGAAGGAGGAAAAGTGGGAAAAAATAAGCACAACAAAGTAGTGGGGGACCAAAGCCAAAAAAGGCCTGAGAGAGTGAGAAAGGGACTGATTGGGAATAGAGAGGAGAGTTAGCTGATTTTGTGGTTGGGGTCATGAGAAGCAAGTTGAATAGGGTAGGATTTAGGAAAGAAGCATCCACTGCCTGATTTAGGAAGCCAGGTAGGGAGGGTTATTAAAAAGCCTTAGTCATCAGAACATTGAGGTGACAGCATACTCAGCTAGACTGGGTGTGCAGCAGAGATATTAAGTCAATAGAGAATATGATCCAAATTGTTGGGGCAGGCACTGGCCTCTTAAGGCAATTGGGTAAAGGTCAGCACCATGGATAGTCCCAAAGGATGAT